GAGTGGGCGTGAGTCATTGTGACTCTTGCTGTTATGCTAGTATGAAATCCTTGAGCATCAGAAATCGTACGGAAATGTCCGACTGTATCCCTGTCTACCTTCCCCTCCCAATCCTGGGCTTAACCATGGTTTACCGTTATGAGCAAACCCATATCCCAGGTTCAGATGGAGAGGTTTGTTTTCGATCCAGCCCAACTTGTTGTGATGGCTGAACCCTTTGGATCCATTTCTTATGGTTATTAGCTCTTTAAAGGATCCCTCTTCCAAGAATTTGTCTTTGATGGGGATGGGGATTCAACGCTCCAGATGTTGTATGATGATGATGATGATGATGACGACGACTTTTGTCCCTTGTTATTACCAATGCTGGGTGGCAGATTTCAGAAATACCTGGAAGGTCACAAGATGCTTGTTCATGGCCTAGAATTTGGGACAGTCTTTTGCATCATACATCGGGGATATCCTTGGACTGCAACTCCCATGAGGGACATCCTTGGACTGCAGCTTCCATGAGCCTTCACATGGAGACTCCTGGAGTCTTTCGTGTCTGTTTTTGATCCTCCACAACTTGTTGTGATGATTGAACCCCATGAACCCATTTCCTCATTGCTATTCGTTCTTGAAAAGCTCCCTCTTCTAGGAAGTTGTTCAGATTTATTTTTGATGGGGATGGGGATATATTATTATTACTACTACTACTACTACTACTCTTTGTCATTGGCTATGCTGGTTAGGAGCCGATGGTTAGGGTCGCCATATGTCGGAGAGGACTTGAAGGCACACAGCAACCACGATGAAACAGAATGGGAAGGTTTCTGAAGCTTCAAATGGGCAACACCTTTTATAAACAGCAAGCGCTTTTACAGGTTGCTGAAATCTACTTGGGAGTGTTTCGTTTTCTTTGATTTCCATACTGGCTGGCTTGCCTTTCTGAAAAGACTCAGAACTAGGAACCACGAGGGTGAGATGTGATATCCTGACCTGACGTCCCTTCATAACCCCAGAGGCCTTCTCCTTGGCGTGACAGATTCCCACGTGCAAGTCTCAACTTGGTCCTGCTGGGGATCATGGGTCTTTTAATCCAGCATCTCTAGAGGATCAAGAATCAACCAGGGTTCGATCCCCAGCTCAGCCGTGAAACCCAACTGGGTAGACCTTGGTCAAGCCATACACTCCCTTAAACCTTAAAAATGAACAAAACCCTGAAAAAATTGGCCCAAACCCAAACTCAAAAGTGGTTTGACATCACTTCTGGTCATGTTTTTTAAAAAAGTAATTCTATTAATTATGAATTACTTTTTAAAAGTAATAATCTACTTTTAAAAAGTAGAATTGTTAAAAGTAATTTCTAAAAGTAATTCTATTAATTGTGCTGCTGTTTTATTGTGGTTTTATTGTCACGTTTTAGCTTATCGTACTTTCTTTTATTTTGGGCTCCCGCCTCGATCCGCAGGGAGAGGTGGGATATATAAATAAAACTATGATGATGATGATGATGATGATGATGATGATGTTGGGTCCACTGTTGTGGTTTGTGGTTGCTGATCTGATTCCTCTCTCTTGGCATCTTTGGATGGAGGCAGAGCTTAGAAAAGTGATTTCTGGTAACTTTCCCAAACTCCCATCCAACATGACCACCGGCTGTGCTAATCTGGGGGGATTCTGGGACTCGTATTCCAAAATAATATAT